AAAACTTTTTCAAGCAACAAATAAAACAGAGCGTTAAAAATCTAACTGAAAAGTAAACAGCCTCCAAATTAAATGAAAATAAAAAACTGGATTTGTGCAGGAAACAGAGACGAATCATTTATTTGTGTTTGCCCCACATTCAGAGATTGATGTGCCAGAATATACACTCATATGTTCTGAAACAGAACATATAAGTGTATCGTTAAATGGATAGACCCACACTTAATGTTACAATCTGTTTTTTCCATTTAGCAAAAAATAATTCAATTCAGTCCTGTTTTGTTTATCTGTTGCCAAATCCGTCACCTCGAGGTGCTAAAGACCCGACAACAGAACAGCAATGTGATTGTCTTGTTGTATTTGTGTAGTTGATGTCTGATATATGGATGGAATCCATTCACATACTTAAAGCATGCTGTTTATTATAGCTTGGCACTTGCTGGAGACCTATTCAACAAATCCAGTTGTGTTTGATATCCTCAGAAGCAACACTGCTTGCTCTTTTTGCACAATGCAGTAATTTATGTGTTCAACCTTCTGTGGCTGATTAACAGCCTAAATAAGTAAAAACTCGTAGCAATAATGCTAATTATGTAAAAATCAACCTGTATAACCCTGAAGACATCACCTAAGTAAATTTTCTCTGGCTTGGCAAAGCTGCTCCAGTGCCGCGGGACAGTCTGCAACTGCTCTTTGCAGGCTGCTAACTCTCCTAATTACTAGCTAATGTGTAAAAATTACTCTTCCCTTTTACCCTTTGGTTCTCTGCTTTTTTCTCTTTATGTGTGCAAAGATAGAACTTATATATATACGTATACAGAATTTGAAGCCTTGAATCAGTGAGGTCCCATGATGTGCAGGTGCTAAAATTGTGTAAGGTGATACATGCCCCTGAAGTTTGGCAAGCTGAGCAAAAGCCTGTGATCAGCAGGAAAATCTGGCTTGCAGCTACGTCTCAGCCACTTATCAGCGTAATGCTCTAGTGTGGAATGTGGTTAGCCTGTGTTTATATAAAGCTCTCCACACATGGCTTTAAGTAGATTTAATGCTGATAGCGCTGGGTGTTTCTAGCACTTTCGTGTTTTGCCAGTGCACTGCTGTGTAGCCTCCCCATGCTTTCCCAGTCCTTGTTCCTGTCCTACTGAGTATTTTACTGTACTGTTTTCATCAATGAGTCCTGGGCTTATTCTTTTGATCAGGCCTAATCCTCTTTATTATTTGCATATTGTGATTTCTCCCTGCAACAATCAGTCCTCCGCTGCACCAAACACTGTGGACTTTGATTAATTATGGAATGTTTGTTAATGGACTGGGTGCTTTCAGTTCATCCTCACTTTTTATTTCTGCTATGCATTACCATTGTGTTTGCTGCTCGGTTAAGTTCTTTATGGTATAAATTATTTGATAGCTTGTATAGCAGCAGAGCAAGCGTAATATATTTGGATAATAGATTTGTGCACTGTACTGGGTCATGCTAGCAATTAGCGTAATAGTCTATTTCAGAGGCATTGGTTTCCAAAGTAATCCATAAACAGGGTGAGGATGTGCACTGTGAACCATACTTTAAATGGTGGCAGTAAAGAGGACTTGATGTGCAAATTCCTAATAAGAATTTTAAATGGAAATAATGGCTCCAGCCAGCAATCATAAAAACTGTAATACAAAGACACAAAGTACACAAGTCTCAGTTTCTGTCAAGTCAAAGTCTCACATTTCTCCACTTGTCAAGTTTTCTTGATTTTGTGAGTTTGGTTTTTATTTTTCAGACACTGGATTTTGGTTACAATTCAAAGGGTTTTATCCAGAGTTTGTTCATTTCTGAATTCTATTTATTTTCATGTAAATGTTATATAAATATAGATTTCATTTGTTTTCTATAACTGAATTTACATGTCATTCCTATTTTATTATGTGGCACAAGTTCAGCACAAGCTCTGCCTCCTGTTCTGTTTTGGTAAGTTTAGGTACCACAAATAAGTAAATGGACTGATTCTAATATAGCGCTTTTCTACTCTCCTGCAGCACTTGAAGCGCTTTAAACGACAAATAAGTCAACAGATCTGCTGAGAGCTGAGTGTTCTGTTAGAATACAGTATGATATTATGGGGAATACGGGGATTTTAATGTATGGTTGTCAGGTCATTCAGTTGTAGATGTGGATTGTAAACTGATTTCATGGAGCTAATGAAGACTAGCCAGTAAGCTGAAATGTGATCCCTTTTTCTTTTCTCTGTTAGGACTCTCATGTTAAAAGATTTCAGTTGAGTTTTTACTTACTTTACTTATGAGACTCTTGAATATGAAGAGTCAAAATAACTGGTAGTAGTTAAAGATGCTTTTGCGACAGAAACATGAAGCTGTGTGAGACATAAAGACAAAGAGTCTTCCATGCTCTATAGGCTTATAAGTCACTCACTGAATGAATGCATGAATAAATGAATGAAAGTGTTAATCTGGAGGCGGAATGTAGGTCTCACAGTCCAAGTCACTTATGCAATGATCTGTTGATTTGCACGTCAATGCCAATAAAATTTGTTACCCATGCAAACAAGAGGTGACAGAGATGATAGCATCTCTGTGGGGTTATACTTAGTAAAAGTGGCATTTTAAGCTAAATGCTCTGAAACTCCAACCTGATGCAATATAATATAGTGTTCAGGTACAACATACCTAACCAGTTTGATCCTAGACCATGATCTGATCACCAAATCCTTGCTTTCCTTAGTGCTGCTGAAAGTCAGTCATAAAATCACATCTGGAACATACGCTATATGCCACTTAAGCTGCAATTTAAGTGATCTCTGTTTCGATTTATGTCTTCCAGGATTTCTGCTAACTTATGAACCTGATGCATTTGCTACTCTTCACACTTACATAACAGAAAATCACCCATAATGCTCTGCCATGCATTCATAATGTTTTCCATTTCTGCACTCTGTGTGTTTTGGCGTACATCACTAATATTTCAAATAGCTAGGAGGGGAATTTATTGTCTTGGGAGCTGAGGTATGACACAAAGCACAATGTTTCTCATGCTCCACTGCTTCCATAAAATCACTGTTTACTCATTTCTTTCTCGTGGGTTTATTTTTTTTCTTTTTTTTGTTCTTCCATGGATATAACGGCTGTCAGCTGTGGGAGTGGTATAAGCAGGGATCAGAAAAACGCTAAAACAGTGCAATCCATTTCAACGTATTTGCATAAATCATTTCCGGACAATGCAGACTGAATGAATGAATTACTGTAATAGAAAATGTCACAACTGTCACGACTGTCCTTGAATCTCTCAGGTTACGGGTGCCGAGCGCTGCAAATATGAAATTGCTCATCAGATTGCAGGCGTCTTGGTCGACAATGCCAATAAACTTTGTTACCCATGCAAACAAGAGGTGACAGAGATGATGATCTCTGTGGGTTATACTTAGTAAAAGTGGCATTTTGAGCTAAATGCTCTGAAAGTCCAACCTGATGGTGGTGCTAGATGAAGTGTAAAGGGATTAACCTTGACTCAGGGGCGATCGTGGCTCAAGAGTTGGGAGTTCGCCTTGTAATTGGAAGGTTGCCAGTTCGAGCCCCGGCTTGGACAGTCTCGGTCGTTGTGTCCTTGGGCAAGACACTTCACCCGTTGCCTACTGGTGGTGGTCAGAGGGCCCGGTGGCGCCAGTGTCCGGCAGCCTCGCCTCTGTCAGTGCGCCCCAGGGTGGCTGTGGCTACATTGTAGCTTGCCATCACCAGTGTGTGAATGTGTGTGTGAATGGGTGGATGACAGGTTGTGTAAAGCGCTTTGGGGTCCTTAGGGACTAGAAAAGCGCTATACAAATACAGGCCATTTACCATTTGACTCAGTATGCAATGATCTGTTGTGGAATGTGAAAAACACGAGTGACGTGGGAGGATTCGTCCCCTGCGGACTATGAATGTGTGTAAATATGTTACTTTAATCATGTGGAATATAGAAGCTGATGATTTCAATCACTCTCTTGTCACATGTTTTCTCTGTTGTCTCCTAACTGACATAAAACAAGCCTTCACTGTTTTGTCAATAGAGGTTAAAATAAGTCCGATGTTTCTGTTTCTGCGTGATGACGTTTAGTTGTATAATTGTTATTGTCTTACAGGGGGCTGCCCCTCCCTGAGCCTGGATCTTCTGATGGTTTCTTCCAACTTAGTATCACAGCAAAACCTGTAACAGACACGCTGGTCCACCGTGTTTTATGCTTTGCCTCTCCAAAGTGTGAAATGTACATGCATGCAGAAATTGCATTACCGGCAGGGTGAGATAACATATTTAAAGGCATGAAGTCGGTACTGAGTAAAAAACGTATAAAGTGCATTCCAGAGTCCTTAATCGCCAGAAACTATTAAGCTAGGAGGCTAATATGTATCTACATGTACATGTGATAAAATGTCCGTGATTATTTTCATTTTGGCCTGAAATAAAACATCTTCCTCTGCTGTTACTGCATCTTACTGCATGTGTGTACATTTCACGTTTTGGAGAAGCAAAGTGTTAAATGGACACGATGGACCGGCCTGTCTTCTACACACTTTGCTGTGATATCGGGTTTTTTCTTCCAGCTATCACCAAGTGCTTGATTGGGTTGTCTGGTTGTTGAGGTTTTCTTTGTGGTAGAATCTTTATCTTACAAAATAAGGCACCATGACTTGACTGTTGACAGAGGAGGACTGCTGTAAATAAATTAAATTAAATTGAATATGTGTCCCTTCTGTCTTATTTTGTTAGTTGAGTGAACGCTTGTAGTGTGTTGTTTTTTTTTATTGTGTAGTTAAAACTGCACGTGCCTTTGACTGCTCACTCGCTAACTTTCTGTCATATTTGATATCTGCACGATTGAACCTTCCAGTATCAGAAGATGCCATTTGCTGGTAAACTGTCCAAATTTAAATGGATCTCTTCCAAGATATTGGTAATATTTCATGTGCAATAGCAGAAAGCTTCTAACTGAGTGCCCTTGTGTTTGTCTTTTATGTTTTTAAAGAGATCTCTGGGAACTCGGAGGACATCCCTCTAGTGCGCTGGAGGCAGCAGTGGCTGGAGAATGGCACTCTGCTCTTCCACATCCATCACCAAGACGGCAGCCTGAGCCTCCCAGAACCGACTGAGGATCCAGCCAATGTCTCTACGAAGGAGGAGCTCCGCATCCTGCACATCTCTGTGATGGTAAACCCTCAGTGCTAAAAAGAGCTAAAACTGGAAAGTGCTATGTTATATTGCTGTTCATTTTCTTTTGACACATATAAAACTTTTTAATTGGGCAAAATTTAGCAAAATGAAAAATGTTGGTGGAAGATTTTTTTTCTTTCTTTAATTAAAACTGACATGAGATCAAATTGATGAAACGACGTCACTGTTTTTTCTTCTTCTCTAAAAAAAACGACTCCAAGATCTGTCTTTTCTGATAAGATGGCACATTTTTTTGTTTTTGCTTCCAAATGAAACAGCACAACCCGCATATTTCTTTTCTGAAAAAGCAGACAAATCTTGTAGATTTCTGTCATGGTACGATGACTGTTTTACATGCAACAAGCCTCCCTCTGTCTTGCAGTTCACTCTGTAGTATGTTGAGGGTTTTTTTGACCCAATATATGTGATATCTCAGTCTCCACCACAGTCACATGTCTGCCAGAGTTATTTAGATCAAACATATATTAAGCGCATGGCGCATCCAGCCAGCTATAGGGTAAGGTTGTGTTTTATGACTGTAAAGGCATGGATGGGGTCAAAGTGGACTTTTAATGATAAAGAAAAAAGGGTATTTACTGTTAGCCATTTTAGTGCTATATAAACTATGGCAGCAAAACATATACTTATGAAATTCTACATTTCACCTGCAAAATATAGATTTTTGCATGCTTACACTGTATCAAACCTTATCTGCTCTGTCGGCAGAGAAGGAAATGAATCCTTAGATCTCACAGCTTCCTCTTCTTGCCTGAGGAAATGTATATTTATTAGATCTTAGATATGCCACACCTACTCCCAGTGCCCTTTTCTAGCCCAAAGACATTACAATCGTGCTTTGATGGATGATATGTATTTTCAGACATTGAAAGCATATTATAGCTGCATACACAAATGATTAGTCAGCTTGAGAAGACTTTTGCCAGCAGCTATATCTGCTGAACGGAGGCACGGAGCTGTGCTTCAACACCCGCTGAATGTCATTGACCTTCAGACCTTAATATAATGACGGATAACTGACTTTGACTTTCCTCTGCATGTTTTACATGTATTAGCAAACATCAAGTCCATCTACAAGGTGCGCAGGCTTCAGTGATGACAGCATTTTAATGTGGAAATTAGATAGCCAGGGTGCCAGTTCTGCTTCTTGCCCCTTTGATTTTCCACTAATCTCAGATTTTTACTCCCTGCTCTATCTGCATTTCACATCCCATCAACCTCAGGTCCATGTCTCTGTGCTCCGTGCTCCGCTCATTCCTCATCCTGAACGAGCTGCAGCGGCAGCACTGTTTTTCATGAAGGTGTGGGTAGAGAAGGATTAGCATGCAGATATGAGCAGACCATGGAAACAGATGGAAGTGGTGTTGCCACTGTGCTGCCCGGGCCCCGCTGCAGCTTGCCACCCGGCTGGAGGCCTCGACCTATAAATCCAAAGCTGTGTCATTCGTTCAGCTCCTTATGGATACAGAAAAGATCCCGTGAAGGCTGCTTTACAGGCTTTTTAGCTCAACCGCACACCTGTAACTGGACCTGCTCCTGTTGTATATCACAGGAGACCTCAGGTTGGAAGCACTCAGTACGCAGAGCAGATGATGTCTAAATAAAAGCAGCAAAAAAGACACTTTCATTAGATCACAGCCAAATGTTTAGAAACGATTCTACTCTGTGGTGATGCAATGAGGCTACAGCAATGAAAAGAAGAATGATTCACAGTTTAGCTCAACCTTGGTGTCACATTTAATGCTTGACTTACCAAACCAGTTGCTGGGATCGAGTGACATTGAACACTCCAAATAGCTCCTAAAACTCATGTTGATAACTCCGTATCGCTTGGTAAGATGAGTATATCTGTGCCAGACCTGCATCAACAAGAGGCATGTCAGACTGTTGGATTAATGTGTTTCACAGAGGTGTAAACAGAAACATTTATGAGAGTAGGGGGACGTCCTCAGACAGTACCTTCCAGCTGCAGATAATACATACGTGCTTGTTCGCTTTTTACCCCTCAGCTGTAAAAGATGTCGGGGTATTGTCGTCCTCCTGCGGGCGGGCGTGGACACACGGGCTTGTAAAACTCGAGAATGAAGTGACGTTTCAATTTGATACCGTGGGTGTATCTACTAGAAATCTCGAGTTCGAATCACAGTGACCTCGACCTAAAGGTCAGGGTTTCTGAAAATCTTGTGATTGCAATAACTTGAGAACAAGGCGATGTAGGTTTTTGAAATTCTAATTTTGCAGTCTAATGACTGCAGACCTCAGTCTTAAGTCTGATCTCCATGTGGACAAACGAGGTTGTAAAAGAAAATCAACAGTTTAGCCTGATGATGTCATAATAAGTATATACAAGATCGACTTTGAAAGCGTCTCAAATCTGCATTCTTTCCAAAGGCCCGCAGAAAGTGTATCCTGTGGTTGCAAAATTCATATTTGTCTTACAGTGCTATCTTTTTACCAGACTCATGAAGTTAGTTGAAATTAGTCCCAGGCCTGCACAATTTAGCCAGGTCAGCTCAGCCAGGAATGTCCAATTAGCCACAGTTCATTGCTTGGCCACTACACCACACCGTGAGACTGTTTATACCTAAGAAGGAGGATGGGGTGGTTGTTGGGGGTGACTCCATCATTTTAAAGCTTGAGGATAAGCCAGGCTTATTATGGGCCTGATCCTAAAAGGCAATCGGGTTCAATGGACTGCAGCAAAGTTGGGATCTGAAGCCACAGGAACATTTTTTCCCCCTGACTCCAAGTGAGCTATAATATTACGGATTATTTTTGACTATAAGGAACAACACGAAAGAATTTTCAGTAGTTTAGCCGGTTTATTTTTCAGTCGCTGTGTTCTAAAGTTGGAGGTTTTCCTCATGGAGGGTTCAAAGCTTCTCCCCATGCATTCGCATCCAACAAGGTGACCACAGTGTCCTCCGCTGGCTGTGTGCTGGTCATCCATAATAGATGACTAACCTTGTGCATGTCTGTATCAACACCAGGTGAGACACTGGCAGTTCAAACACATGTCCTCAACTTCAGCTTGAACCCTACAGGCACAGTCAGCTTCAAAGTAAACTGCGATACTCAGATGAAGACAAATAAATACCCTATATATTAAAAAAAAGATGTGTTTAGTGTGTCATGTTTGTTTTATGTGTCAAGACTCTTAAGCTCCAGTGTTTCATTGCTATACACATTTCTCCCTTTTTAATTTCCAAATTCTAATAAGCTGCTATTTTGCCACAGGGCCTCAGTGGATCAATCCAATCATCACATACAGCACAGAGGCATCCAGAACAAACTGAGTCAATTACATTGTATAAATGCCTAATATTCTCAAGCTTAGAGGTTAGATTTGATGTTTTCCGCCCCCCGTGAATCTCTCTTGGCTCTATTGTTTTTCCTCAGAGGCCATAACACAACTTTTTAATTTGAGCAAGCATCATAGTGCTGCCTGAAAAAAATGGAGAAATCAAGACAAAAAGTTAATTAGTAATGAGATAAAGTGGAATTAATTTGTTTTCTTTCACAGATGGAAGCAAATCGTTGGGAAGGTTACTGACGAGGTTAGTTCTGCTGGATGGTCAGCAGGTGTGGACAGATTTTGTTTACCTCACCTGTGTCGAAGGCCTCAAGGAACACGTTTCCTTTGAAGTTATTAGGAGGTTTTTATTAGATTCAGAGTGTCAGAGCTCTATGTTAATGGCAGCAGCGACTCAGGCTAAACCTTTGTTTGGGTCTGACTGAAATAGGCTCTCCAGTGGACATTTTTCATGCTTACATCATTATCAGTATTAGGATGGCCAACTATTTCTCTGAAAAGTACTTTTATTCTTAAACGCTTTTGCTAAATTGCATTGGTAGATCTGTTTTCAAAAAGAAAAAATGTAATGATGATTGTTTCTGATGTCAAGCTTGTGTGTGTGTGTGGGGGGGGGGGGGTATTTCATGCTTAGATTTGTGTTTTGTCATGCAGCTAAGATATGAAACTGAGAAGATTAATTCACAATTTCCCACAAAGAGAGACTCTATTAAAAAAAAACAAAATCCAGCTGTTATATATTACATATTATTCCAAGACCTTTAAGAAAATGGGTTTCAGTGCTTGAAATTTTCTATTGCAGAACTACACTATGAGAGATGACTTTAATAATACATAATCCACAGCTGAGGACGAGGTTGTTATTTTTCCAGTAAAAATCCAGCCCCGCTTGAAAAAAAGCAGATGAACAAACATGAACGTCAGGTTCTACTGGAGGAGGAAAAAACCTGCAAAAAACTCAAAGAAAAACCTGCACACCAAAAAATGGAAAAAAGGATTTGAGGATTTTGTCAGTTGTCCCTTTGAGAGTGAAGGGTTACAGCCAGTCAGTACAAAGGTGTTCCAAGTGGCCATCTTTACTCAACATTTCTTTTCTGATGGGAATGTTCACCTCTGGGGTGAAGGTGCCCACATCTGTACGGCGCAGGGCGCTGAAAATGCTTTGATGAGTCAGCAATTAGAGCAAATCTAAACCCAGCTGATGAGGCTCTTTAATCTGTCTATGGGCAGACTGGTTCTCCACTATGGGTGGGATGGCTGCAATGCGTCAGCTAGCAGACATTTTTAGCTGCGACTAAAAATGATGTTCTAAAAAGAGCAAGGTGGAAAGCACACCAGATGTACTTTAACTAGGAAAAATGAACTGTCATGTGGGAGCTCCATCAGAATAAACTGAAATAAGCACTTGATACAAGCCTGAACACATCGTGCGATGGACATTAACCCTCAAGGAAATAAGACTGCAGGTCCTACTGTGGTGAGGGTAATAATGTGGAAATAGGAGAGAGAACAACAATGCCACTTGAGGAACTCCACCACAGGAAATATTGCTTTAACAAAACTTAATTATCAGTGGATAATAAAGGCACACAGACCCATACCAGAGAGGCAGACTAATTCTAACAATTTATTCAACAAAACAGAAGTCAATTACGAACAGTGTTGA